TCTTGTCTCTCTCCCCCCTTTTACAACATGCAGGTGCAACTATATGGACACAAACTGCATTTGCCAGAACACCATACTTTACCTAGAAAGATGGCGTCGAGCTGCAGTGTTTTTTCTTGTAGTTGTTATATACATTTTTTTTTTTTTCCTTTGACAGGATGTTGAGGAAACTTTGGAGCAGACCAAACAAATGAATATTTACTGCCATTTTGCTAAAGGCAATGGTGAACCCAGCTATAGTCCAGTTCCAACCTGGGAGGAGTTGAACCAAATCCTTGTGGAAGCCTTGGACAACTACAATGAAGTCAATGCTGCCATGAACCTGGTACTATTTGAGGATGCCATGTGCCATGTGTAAGGGGACTTTCTGGCTTTTTGGTCTCATCATAGAATCATAGAATCATAGAATGTTTTGGGTTGAAAGGGACCCCTAGAGGTCATCTAGTCCAACCCCCCTGCAGTGAGCAGGGACACCACTAACTAGATCAGGTTGCTCAGAGCCCCGTCCAACCTGGTCTTGAAAGTTTCCAGGGATGGGGCCTCCACTACCTCTCTGGGCAACCCCTTCCAGTGTTTTACCACCCTCATTGTAAAGAATTTCTTCCTTATATCCAGTCTAGCATTTCTCTGTGCAGATTGCTTCCATGGAGTTTCCTGGGGGATGTAGGTCTCTAATTACAGCTGATGGAGCGGAGGTGTGCAGAAGCTTCATCTGCCCATGTGCTGTGTCCAGCACAAATACAGCTTCTTAGCTGGTGTTTGGAGGGCACTTCTGAAACCATGAGGATGCCTGGGGCTGTCAGATGGGGGGACTGAATGCTGGTGGTTATTTTAAAGTCTGGTTGCTGTTATGGTATCTTTGGCCCTTGATGCTCTGCATATGGTATGGACGTTTATTGTACGCGACAAAGTTCAAGTGCTTTGTTGTCTTCACTTGACAGCCAGCTACAGAACTAGTTATACTGGGATTTCCCTAAATGCTTTCACAACTGGTTTAGAGCCATGTTCACATGGGTTCTTAGTGGGATTTTTGAATGTGTATAAAGTGAGATTAAGTTCCTTCAGGCTACCAGTTTAAATGGATTGAAGCTTTTAAACTGCTTTGATCCTTTGAAAATCCTGCTTGCATTTAGATCCCTGGAGGTCCAATTCCCTTTGGAAATTGGACATGTGGGACTATATGAAAATAGCAAGCCTCCAGTTCATGGTTTTGAAGCTATTTACATGTCTGTGGTGTAGATAGTGAGGTGTTACCTCCAGCTTCCAAATACGATTCAAATGCTTGTTGGGAATCCCAGCAGAGACAGACTCATTTCTGGTGCTGAAATGCCTTAAGTCACTTCAAAAGATGGACCTGCCCTGTAAGTCATAGCTTTAACTGATTTTCTATGAAAACATTGTGTCGAGAGGTGCAGATTTGTGACTCTATGCTGGGAAGAAGCCGCTGTCCTGCTGCATACCAGCGTGTGCGATTTCAGTTCTCGCTGGATCTGGCAATCTAATGCAGTCACTCTCATGCAAATTCAAAAAATATATAAGAAGTTCTGCTCCTTTTAACCAGGTGTTTAACTGTTTCTGTTCTGAGAGCTCAACAACCTGTTACTTTTGCAGTGTAGTGTGCTGGCTACACTGGGGCACGTTTCCTTTTACTGTATGGACATTTACTGCCTTGTATTAATGAGCCATATGCAACCTGATGTCTGTAGGTGTTTCTGCTTGCGTTGCTTGCAGGAAGGTGACAGTAATGTTAATCTTGTGCTCCTTTTGCACTTTACATAAATTAGGATTTGTGACAAACCTTGGCACTATCCCTCCAGTTAAGATTGTGAATAATCAGGAAAGCAAGGTTTGAGTGTTCGGCATGATTTTCGCTGGAGCTGGGTGAATTTCATTCACTGCATTTGGAAACTGCATTTTGCTGAAACACGGAACTTATTCCATCTCAAACAGCTTATGAATGTCAGCTTGAATTCACTGAAAATTTTCAGTTGGAGAAAAAGAAAAGAAAGAAGAAAAAACAAAGGAAACATTAAAGACTTAATTTACGTGAGGAAGTGGGAGATACCCATCAATCACCTCCTAATCAAGGGCTCATTGCATACATTCTCAAAGCCTGCAGCCCTGGAGAGCACACGCTGTCATCTTCAGGGAGAGCCAGCCTAGAGAATTGAAACCAGGAACACTAAAGCTCCCTGCGCAAACTGGGTGTTTTTTCTGGGTATAATTGCACAATCAGTGGGAGTCTGCCCATAGATTGTAAGATACTTGAGTTGTGATAAAGCAATACAGCATTTCTTACAGTCTTATTTGAAAAATTAATTAGATTAGTCTGGGAAAATAGTTAAGTGAGCCAAATAAAGGCAGTGATGTGAAGAGGGGAATGGTCCTTGCATTTAAGACACAGGACAGTGAGTTTTCACAGATAGGATTCTCTAAACCCCCCTCACCTGAGGTTTTAACGTGTGGGGATGTCAGCAGTTGCTCAAAGAGAATAAATTGGAGGCAGGCAGAGTTTACCATGCAACCCTCAGACAGGACAAGTGAACAGACCTGGGGAATAATAGCAAGTTTGTTTTTAAGAGCGAGAAAATCTCACACTGAAGTAGTGGTGGTTTGGATAAACAAGAAACATGGCCTGTGTTTTCCAGACACATTTTTATGCTCTTCTAGACATATATGAATGTGCCTTAATGCGTAGCAGGACTGTTCACCTGAACGTGAACTCCAAATGCTTTGTGAAGAGAAACCTTTACTAGGGAGGTTAGGGTTAGGGGTTAGGGTTCAAAGCCCTGAATTTTGTTCTCAGTTTTTGCATGCCGATGTAATGTGCTTTTCCCCTTGTATTTCCTGCAAAGATGTCCAGGCCTTCACCTTAAACCAGATCTGTCAGAAGGACTTGGCAGGCAGAAAAAAAAATTGGACCCAGTCTGAATTGCCACCAAACTATTTTTTTCATCAGCTACGTCCTTTGTATAGGCCTCAGCAGAGATGGGCATCAATTGCTGACATGCCTCTTAGGCTGATGTTCTTCATCCCATTTGGAATACAATTTCTGAGTGAATAAAATATGTATGGAAAAGCACTGGGCAGAGAAATAGGCAAATACTTGTATTAATGGTTTTGTATGCTTTGATTTAGTTGCCGCATCAACCGTATCTTGGAGTCCCCCAGAGGAAACGCTCTCCTAGTTGGCGTGGGCGGAAGTGGCAAGCAGAGCCTGACCAGACTGGCAGCCTTCATTAGCTCTCTGGAGGTTTTCCAGATCACTTTGAGGAAAGGGTATGGGATCCCTGACCTGAAGGTAGGTGATTTTTAAGACTGGGGGTGGGAGGAAATAGAAAAGCAGAACTTGCCCTGAAAACTTTCTCTTGCTGCATATTGAGTGACGACATTGTGAAGACACAAAAAAGCCTCAGACATAGTATTGGACTGCAGAGAGAAGCAATGCTTCTCAAAATACCTTCCTGACATGTGTCCGCAGAGGTGCAGACAGAATTGATGTCCTCTGCCAATCCTCCAAACTGGCTGGGCCTGAGAACACCCAAGGCTTAGCGTCAGCACTGGGCTGTGCTAATGAACCCAGAAGCATCCACTTCATGCTTGTTCAAGAAACCGTAAAGGACCAGAAGAGGTCTATTTGATTATTATTTCTAATTAAACCAAGATGTGGTAATTAGCTCATCTGTGGGGTGCATGTTGTGGAGTGAATTGGAGTTGGAGAAGGAGCAGGAGAGAGTAGGAGGAGAGTTCCCAAATCATATCCACTCCTTCCTCTGGTATTTTGTGTAAGGGAGGGACTGAGTGGATGGTGGACGGTTCGCTACAGATGACACGTGCCTGTGCTTATGTTTATGCACAGGCGGTGAGCTTAGGAGTTATAAATCAACATTTTAAAATATCACTGAAATGGTTTAAATGTATTTTAGCTGCTGGCAAAATTATTCTCATTTAAAATGTTGTAAAAATCCCAATCACAGTATCTTCACTCTGTTCTGCCTGGGAGACATGATGGCTGATGAACCCTGGGTTCCTTCCCCATCAGTTGTACCACTTGATGACCTGGGGTTGTATACAAGTTGTTTTCATCATATTACACAAGCTGGTCCCACCATCTGCTGGGTATTTTCAGCTGTCATCTGTGTTTTTCAGCCCCACTTCTGGGATTTTTCTAGCTCTTACCTGCCTATTTATTGAGGAAGCCTGTGCTCCCTTCTAGGTATATAACTCGATACCAGCATTAATAAACTTGTTTTCAAAGCATCTCTTTGCTTCTCTGTCTGTGGAGGTGGATGATAATTTGGTGTTCCCTTTGCTCTGTATTCATTTTCAAAGACTTCATGAAATATTGAGGCTTTTTTTTTCTCAGATGTGGAAGAGCAAGATGGTGACAGATGGTGACAATGGTCTGCCATTGGCCACTTCCACTGTTATAATTGATCTCATCCAGATTTCCAGTGATGAATGGAACAAATGATTCTTTTGGAAGAAGCATGTGTGTTTGTTGAATTCCAAGAGAGTTTCTGAAACATTGGCCAGTGCGATCCGTCAGGGTCCCTTGCATGTCTTGCAGGGGCAGGAAGGAAAGGATGGAGTTTGAGCTGGATAATGGTGGTTTTCCCATCTCATGAACACTTGGATTTCAAAATGATTATGTCCCTCATTAGGAAGACATTGTCCGCTTTGAAATGAAACAGCTTTTCCATGTAGGCAGGAGACTGAAGTGTGAGTCCCTGTTTGGACTCTGGAAGAGAGGGCATAAATACACTACTGAAAAAATCCATGTTTGCACAAGGTGTCCTCTGTTCCTCACAAACAAAAAAATTCATTGCAACACCTCAGCAAAAAAAAAATAATCATGCTTTGTTTTTGGTTAATGGGAAGATTCTGAAATATCCTGCCTTTAGGTGTGGTACCTAGCCCGTGCTTTGCATAATGTGGGTGCAGCCCCTAAGTTCATTTGCTTCTCAACCTCCAGACAGACCTGGCAAACCAGTACCTGAAAGCCGGCGTGAAGAACATAGGCACCATGTTCCTGATGACCGACGCGCAAGTGGCAGACGAGCAGTTTTTGGTGCTGGTGAATGACTTCTTAGCATCAGGTAGGCCTCACATTGCTTTGATTTCTCCTCTCCTCCCTTTTCAATGTGGTTTTGCTCATGGTAGCATCTGTAGTTCTAGAATATACAGAAGGACAACACATGAAGTAACCTAGAAGCTGTAGAGTAAAAGCAACGATAAGGGCTCCTGTGTAAGGACACACTGCATCTGGTAAATTTTTTTTCTTTCTCTGATGTCTTGTACCCAGTCTTTCCATACTTCATGGAATACTGCATATGGTTGGTAAGCGATGTGTCTGCTGTGATATTGCAGCTGAGGACAGAGCCAAAGGAATGTATCAACAGATGAGAAGTTTGACCTATGGATCCCATGCATCCACAGTCTAGTTGTCTAATAAAATAAGGTTGTTCCTGGCTGGAATATTTGACTGGAGTATCTACAAGTTGGTGGATGATGCAAAGCCACTGGATGACTGTGTCTGTGTGTGCTGTTTATCCCATTCCAGTCCTTGTGAGTTGTTGTGTGCCAAACCAATTGCAGAATAGTCAGTCTACATGCCAGTACTCTGTTTCCCTGCAGAGCACGGCACAGGTATGTGTGGATGGGCACTCCCTGTGCCTGGTGCACTGTGGCACATGGGAGTGTGCAGCTGTGTCACTGCAACCACAGGAGGTAACCCAGAGCAGGTGTGTTGCCCAGGCCCCCGGTAAATCACTGCTACTAACTGCCTGCCACTTGTTGCCTTATTTATGAACTAGGAGTGGGCAGATACCAGCTGGTTCAGGTGACCTCTGTGGATGGTGAGGGGTGGAGAGTTAACAACACAGCGGAGCAATAATTTGTGAGTAACTCTAGAGTTGACATATGTGGCTATAAATTGGCCAGATGGTTTCAGCAGCAAACAAGCCCTGCCTGTGATGAATCTGTAACCAGGTGTAAGGATAGGGGTTGTTGTGGAGGGTGGTGAGTAGCTCCCACTACCTCTTATGCATGGTGTAGATGACACAGACATCTCATGATTCAAGGTGAAGCTCAGTGTCCTGCAGCAAGGGGCAGGCTGAGCAGGCTGGCTTTGGGATGTCCAGGTTATCGTAGGGTGGGTTTGAAAGGTGTTAGGTTTTCCTGTGGCTGCTGTGTGGAGAAGTGGGGACAGATGAGAGGTCGCTGCTCAGGGTCCAGCATGGAATTGCAGTCGGACTGAGGAGGGGACCATGCAGTGACTGTGGCTTCCCGTGGCGTCAGCTAGTGCCGCCCAGTGGGTGCTGACTGATGGGTCTGGCTGCTCCACTATCTGCCTACTTATTTTTCTTACTTGTTTCACTTCTTATCATCACATAAGAACCTAGAACAAAATGAATATTTCAGTCTTTCTTATAACCGAGCAGATTTCTGATGAGTGTATTTTCCTAAATGATTAGTGCTCGTATTGATAGTATCTCACTCAATAATGATGATTCCAATCAAATCAGAAGGCAGAAAGGTAGTGAATAGGTGATAAATTAAGGAACCACTAAAAAAATATTTGATTTAGTACATTTTTGGCAATCAGTTGCGTAAATATTAACTTAAAATTTTTTTTTAAATATTTCTATCTTTTAAAATGTTTCAGCGAACAGAGAGTTATTTAACCACTTCTGGAAATGGCATTGAACAGCTGCATGTTGCAATTCATGTAAATAATTCATTTTCAAAACTAAAATTATTTCATTATCATATACAGCTTATTAGGTATTTGATTTTTTTGTTTGTTTTTTTGGTAATCTAATAGGCACTGTAGCTCTGAAAAAGATGGAGTTTCTGTACTTTGGCTGTATTCTATGTTTGTTTACCTTCTGCTTTTACAAGAAAGTTTGTTCTCACAAGTGTTTATTTTTTAGCAGAATGACCTTCTGTGCCACTTTGCTGCTGCTGGGTCCTGTGGGTACCTGGCTCAATGATTTTTCTCAAGGAAGAGGGAGGAAGCCACTTCACTTTGCTCTAAGACTGCAACAAAATCCAGGCCAGTAAACCAAAACATGTCCTCTTCTCTTAGGTGAAATCCCTGATCTCTTCTCCGACGATGAAGTTGAAAACATCATCAACAGTGTGAGGAATGAAGTCAAAGGCCAGGGGCTAGTGGACTCCAGGGAGACTTGCTGGAAGTTTTTTATAGAACGTGTTCGACGACAACTGAAGGTGAGACAGAGGCTCGGGGAGTTCAGGTCCTCACCATCGGCCTTGGTGCAGGGGCATGGAGTGGAGATGCTTTGGGCTACCTTGTAGGGGGGTCAGACCACAGCCTGAAAGACTTTTCTGCCCATTAGTGATATGAACTGTGATTCTCTCAGCAGGTAGTACTAAAGCATAGGAAATGCTGCCTGTTTCATCACTTCTGGGGCTTTAGGAAGGACTATGAGAGGTGAAAATCAGTCATTGATAATCCATAGCCAGAAGAACTAAAAACCCATTACCTTAAAAGCAGAGTGCTGGGAACTGAGTGGGACACAACATGTTGGAGGATTTCTTCCACTGCAGCCCATATTCCAGCATTTAAAAGCCTTATAAATATGTCCTAAGATTCCAAAACAGTTTCAGGACTTCCTGGGTATCCCCAGCATGTGGAGAAAGTACAGTGCAAGGAGTTAAACTCTTCCAGAAGGTATTTACCCATCCGCAGGACTGCACAGTGCTGCAGTCTTAGAGCAGGGAGATGGAGTGGGCAGTGAATTGAAGACTTGATCTTTACTTAATGAAAGCATATCCTCCTTCTTAATCACTGCTTGGTTTGTGTTGGTGGGACACGTTCACAGACATAGGGTGGCCTGTTCCATTTTTGATGTAGGTAGGTACATTTTTAGGATTGGGAACAGCTGGAGAATCGATTTTTGAGGGAAAATTTGTGGACCATACCACAGTATGGATGTCTAAGGAGAGGGAATCCAGTCCTCTTCTCTCTCCCACTCCCATGAGCACTGATACTGTTTTGTAGTTCTTCTAGCACCTTGGTTGTCCTCTGGCTAGTGTCCCTCACTAGATATATTCCTGTCAGTTATTGAGGTACACTGGAAGGGCAGCATGATTGTGATTTACTTGAGGCTGATCCCTTTTTCTTGCCTGCCCTTCTCTTTCATGGTGTGTTAGAGAGCAGATGGATGGGGTCAGTGCTCTTTATGCTCCCCAGCATTCTGTGACAGCACCATGCACTCTGCAGAAAGTTGATCCACCCGCTGCTGGTCCAGGACATGCTGGACCTCTGGGAGTAGAGCTTGGCCCAAGACAGCACGAGCACCAACACACGTTCTGCCTTGGCGTCTTGAGAGAGTGTAGTGAAGGTGCAGAAGAGGGCTTTTGTACGTGGATAGCTTCCTGAAGCTTGCCTGGCCCTGAGAGAGCAACATAGAGGTGCCTGAGACTTATGCCTGAAGTTGCAGGAAGGATTTCTATGTGTCTGTCCCCTGCGTGTGAGCAGTGAGGTGGGGGTTGGTCTCTGCTCCTATGGAATGGGTGATCGACAAGGGGAAATGGCCTCAAGTTGTGCCAGGGGAGATTTAGGTTGGACATCGGGAAAAATTCCTTCCCTGAAAGGGCTGTCAAGCACTGGAAGGGGCTGCCCAGGGAAGGGGTTGAGTCCCCATCCTTGGGGGTATTTAAAAGCTGGGAAGGTGAGGTGTTTACTGCTAGATTATGCATCTTCTAGGCCAGGTTTGCTGGCCTGAAGTGCAAGGGCTCAAGGATTGAGGTTGCTGTGCCCTTAGCTGGCAGCATGAGATTTTCCTTTGGAAGTGGCTGGAAGAGCCTGGGCTGGGCTGCATGGCTGGAGCCTGGTGCCTGCTCCCAGCCATGTCTTCTCACCTTCTCCTTCCTTTGCTCTGCAGGTTGTGCTGTGTTTTTCACCCGTTGGCAGCAAGCTGCGCATCCGCAGCAGGAGGTTCCCCGCCATTTTCAGCTGCACAGCCATAGACTGGTTCCAGGAGTGGCCAAGGGAGGCCCTTGAGTCTGTCAGCCTCCGCTTTCTGCAAGAAACAGAGACTGTGGAGGTGAGCACCTCACTCAGCAGCATCTGGGGGTGCCCAAGCCATGCCAGGGTTTGAGTTCCTCTGTGGGGTGCGGGTGCTGGCCACCCCTGGCCACATGGTGCTGGTGGCAGCCAGGTGTGACCTTGTCCCTCCGTTCAGTGCAAGCAACTCAATGCAATGAGGACAGTATTGCAGAGAGGGTTTGCTCACCTTTATTGCCCTCCAGCTCTTCCCCAGGACATCTGTGTGATTGTTTGGAGAGGGATTGCTGGTAGTGCTGTAGTACATTAAACTTAATCGAACCACGCCTGAAATACAGTCTAGGTTTTTCAGAGAGGGGCATGGACCTGAGTAGAAGTATGGCCATGGGCACCACGCTCGTGCATATTTGTACAGTACTGCCAGTGAAATGACTGCTTTGCTAGCAAGAGAGGCAGCTTACAAATCAGTGCAGAAAATAACGTACTGCTTATGATTATTGCAAGGAACATCCACTTTTCTCTCCACATGTGTGTCTGAGCGTCTGTGATTCTCAAGAGTAGAAATACGTCAAGTTCTCATTGATGACAACCTGCTACTAGACTAAAAGAGATTCAGTTCTCTTTATTTAGCTTTTCTGGGCAGGATTTTTGAAGAATAAAGTCTACAATGTTTCTTTTTATGAGTGTGCACTTTCCCCGTTTGTACAGAAGAAAAGCCCAAATTTATACTTAAAAGGTTGTTATTTTATAGAGCTGAATGCCAGAAAAATTGCTTGGAATAAAGTAAAGTAGGAGATAAAAAGACATAAAAAGAGGTGTAAAGTACATGAACAGACAAAGTTATTTTAGAGATAACAAAAGAAAAGGGATCAACTTCGATGTTACATCCTGGATTTTGCTGCAGCAGAATAAAAAGTTAATAAATTCCTTTATATACAGCACAGGTCTGTGCTATATGTAGTTGTTCTGTTCAAAATATTTTCTCCTTGTCTTCTCGTCTTACTTTTAGGATTCACTGAAAGATTCAATAAGCAAATTCATGGCGTACGTCCACACAAGTGTCAACAAGATATCCCGATTGTATCTGAGCAATGAGCGACGATATAACTACACCACGCCAAAGTCGTTCCTTGAGCAAATCAAACTCTATCAGAATTTGCTGTTGAAAAAGGGCAAGGATTTAAAAGCAAAAATGGAACGACTAGAGAATGGCCTGGAGAAGCTCAACAGCACAGCAGCACAGGTAAGCAAACCCTTTGGGGTTAAAAGCTGGTGTTTTAATTGCTTGTCTGTCGGAGACATCTCTGCATCCTGCTTTGAAGGAGAACTTTACAGACTGAAACTGTGCAGTGTTTAAAATCTGTGCTGCATGCTGGCTCTAGTCTGGCTTGACCTGGGCTCCTGGAGGAGCAGAAGTTATATTCTCTACTGGAAAGGAGAAGGGAAGAGATGTGTGTCCAGTCTCTGCTGTTTAGGTGGTGCTAATCCCAAATGAAAGATCGCAGTAAGTGAAACGAGAGGGAGGCAGTTGGCTATGTACATCTTTTAATGGTTATTTCAGTGGTAGTGATGAAATAGCTTATAAAATACAGGAAGATCAGTGATTTTTGGAGTTGCATCCAGGAAATCTACAATAAAGTCCACAAGAATCCTGTCTTCCAAACTAAAGAGAGCACCCTTTTAAAATAAGACTGATGTTTGTTTTCCTTGCATTAAGCTATCCATCTTTAGGGAAAAAGGCACATCTGAAGTGTAGATTAACCATCCCAGAATGACTCTTCTAAAGAACAGCACTGGCACTCTCCTGTGGTAATGACTAGATGATGTTCTGAGGATTTCACAAACCTCTCTGTAGTGACTCAAGCTGCCTTTCAGAGCTTTGCTGTCTACATCTATTGCTAAATTCCTGTTTTTCTCTTCATTTCGTATTCCATTAACTCTTACAAATGTTCACTTCCAAGATTCTACTGTGGCAAATGGGCATCTCCTGAAGGTGCTCCAAAGAAATGGAGGGGGTTGATGTGCTTGAAGGACTAGCAGGTTCAACCCCTTCCATATATACACTCTGGGTAGTGCTGGTGGTGTAAATCATGTCCGTCATGCTCAAGAGGATACATACCTTACTAGAAGGTGATGTATGGGCTTTATTAGCGCCTCTCAACTCTTATAGTCTACATCTTACTTCAACCCGTTGCTTTCTTCATGGCACAGGACAGGTCTTTGAGGACACAGGAGGGGAGCGGGCATGTTTCACGTCCCCTTTGCAGGTTTTGGCATCTCCTTTGTAAGGATGCAGCTGAGGCTGAACAGCCAGTAGCAGAGAGCTCCCATCACAACCAATGACGCCAACCAGAGCAGTAAGTACATGCCCTCACTGTGAAGCAGACCTTACAGCTACCTTACCCATGGAGGCAAATAATTTTGCTGACCTGCGGGGTGTTGCTGGTTTTGATGATGTGGTGGACAAGATGAGTTAGGTCTATTTTTTACTGGGAGCAACTAATATGAAACTAACCTTTTGACAGGAAAAAAGTCCCTGTAGTGTCAGTCAAACACGGGGGCCCTTCTGTATTCTTCAGGTATATCTTAGGGGTGTTATGTTGGTAAGGGTTCTTTGACGAGCCACAAAACAAGTGCTGAGCAGTGATGGAGGACTGGGGAGGAGATGGGGGAACGCACAGCACCTGTGGGTCTTGTAGGTTTTGCTATTTCAAGAAAGGGAAAAGAATGCAGAGTTCATATATGGTTGGCATAAGGCTGGGGTGAGAAGTGCCTGTTTGTAAAGTTGATTAAGATGCAGATCAGTGAGGACAAATATGTCAAATCTGAATCCAAAATGAGAACTGGGGGCCTAAAATTAAACATCTAAATTATCAGATGTGTGCAATAGTCAAAAGTGCTGTTGGTTTGAAACCAGAGTGTGGATATTGAGCAGTGTTGGAAATCATAGCAGCATGTTCAATCTTGGATATGGATTTGAAAGTTTGAACTTTACATTCAACCATGGAAATGTTTGAGAGTGATGCTGAGGGAGTGACAAGTCTTCTGTGTCACTCGGGCTTGTCATCTCCAGGTTGTGTTCATGGTTCTTGGAAGCGATATGCTGTGGCTTTTTTATTTTCAAAGCAAAGGAGGAGGATTTTGATACCTGTCTATGACCTGGTTGTGCATTAGGTCTGAGG